GGGCGTGCCTGTAATCCCAGCTACTCAGGAGGCTGAGGCAGGAGAAGTCACTTGAACCCGGGAGGTGGAGGTTACAGTGAGTGGAGGTCAGGCCATTGCACTCCAGCCTGGGTGACAGAGAGATAGTCTCCAAAAAATGAAACAAAAACAGAACAAGTCAGAGAGTCAGAAAATGGAATTTTAGAGTAAGGAGCTGGGGCAATTACATGCTCTGGTAGCCGTTTGAGAATCTGGGGGCCCCAAAGCTTCCCCCCGGCATTTCTTGGGTACTGTGTGCCTCTCTGTTGGGGGCGATGCTTCAAAGCCCCCAGCTCAGGAGATCTTTGTCGGCAGCGTGGTGAGTAGGACGAGAAAGGCGCACAGCAGTGTGCGTGCCAGGCCCCATATGCTTTTAAAAAGGGACTTTCTGCAGCTAGGGACACTCCGATAAGAGAGTGGAAACTAGTTTCCTCCCTGTGGTAGGGAGATTTTTCTTACCCTTTTGAACTGTTTCTTTTTTTAACCATGAGGAGGTTACTTTCCATCTAAAAAGTAATAATGTAAAAACCACACGGGGGTGAATGGTCTAGAGCCGAGAAGTGCCTGCCTCCGGCGGCTACAAGCTCGGGCCCCTGCAGCAGAGCTGCTGCCCACTCTGCGGGAGGCCTCTTCTGGATGCGTCTTCATGGGTTACAAGAAGCACATTACTTTGACCCCAAAGGTAATTATCTTGACTCACTAACTACCTGAATCGGCATATCTGGCTTGGAATCACACAGCTATGACTCCAAACCTGCTCTTTCTTAAAACAGCAAAGGTGTTTGGTTGGTTGGTTGTTTTACCATTTGCAGACATTCAAAGGACTCTTAAGGCAATGTTGAGACTTGTTAACTGGCTCAAGGCTGGAGGAGCGTTGCTTGGGCCCAGAAGTTGGTGACCGACCTGGGCCATCATAGTGAGACTACCTTTGTCTCTACTGAAAAAAAAAGAAAAGAGGCCGGGCGCAGTGGCTCACGCCTGTAATCCCAGCACTTTGGGAGGCTGAGGCGGGCGGATCACAAGGTCAGGAGATCGAGACCACGGTGAAACCCCGTCTCTACTAAAAATACAAAAAATTAGCCGGGCGTGGTGGCGGGCGCCTGTAGTCCCAGCTACTCAGGAGGCTGAGGCAGGAGAGTGGCGTGAACCCGGGAGGCAGAGCTTGCAGTGAGCTGAGATCCGGCCACTGCACTCCAGCCTGGGCGACAGAGCCAGATTCCGCCTCAAAAAAAAAAAAAAAAAGAAAAAAAAAAAAGAAAAAAAAAATTAGCCAGGCGTGGTGGCACACATCTGTAGTCCAAGCTACTCAGGATGGTGAGTTGGGAACTTAAGCCCAGGAGTTCAAGGCTGCAGTGAGCTATGACTGTGCCACCGCACTCCAGCCTGGGCAACAGAGTGAGGCCCTGTGAAGAAAAAAAAAAAAAAAAAGACTTGCTGATATGGTTTGACTGTGTCCCCAACCAAATCTCATCTTGAGTTGTATCTCCCACAACTCCCACGTGTCATGGGAGGAGCCCGGTGGGAGGTGACGGAATTGTGGGGTGGGTCTTTCCTGCACTGTTCTCGTGGTAGTGAATGAGTCTCGTGAGATCTGATGGTTTTAAAAACGGGAGTTTTCCTGCACAAGCTCTCTCTTTGCCTGCCGCCATTCATGTAAGACGTGACTCGGCCCTCTCGCCTTCTGCCATGGTTGTGAGGCCTCCCCAGCGATGTGGAACTGGAAGTCTTTAAACCTTTTTCCTGTATAAATTACCCAGTCTCGGGTACATCTTTCTCAGCAGTATGAAAATGGACTAATCCACCTGTTACACATTTTGAGCCATGGAAAGTGCTCAATTTGGAGTACTTGAAAATTGCCACCCTTGGAGTACTTGAAAATTTTTGTATTTTTAGTAGAGACAGAGTTTCAGTGTTGACCAGGCTGCTCTTGAACTCCTGACCTCAGGTGATCCACCCGCCTCAGCCTCCCAAACTGCTGGAATTACAGGCGTGAGCCACGACGCCCAGCCCTGGCTCTCTGAGTTTTAAACCACTTTCTTTAAATTTTGCTGCCAACTCTAATAGTTAGACTTCTTTTGGAGGGTGAAAGGAAGGCAGGAGACAGAGAAGGAGAGAAAAAAAATAGGGGGAAAAAAAGAAAAAAGGAAAAAAGAAAACAAATCTGTTACATTACAAGGGTCACGGCAAAAATGACAACTGTCAAAACAACAGAACCAAGTTGAGACCGCCTGGATGGCAGCGGTCACCGAGTTTGCCCGGTGGCTCTAGGACTCAGGGAGAGGGCGGGTCTGGGAAAGAAAGCCACTCCTACCTCATAGGTTTGTGGATTAGACGCAATGGTGTGGGTAAGGGGCCCGGTTCTGGGGATTCCCAGGTCCAGTGCTAGAACAAGAGCTCTATATCCGGCTGTCCAGGGTCTCACAGCAGTAGGTCAAGTCACGGATTTACCTCTGACTCCAAAGGCTTTTCCATTGCCCAGTCATCTCCCATTTCCTTCAATGGATAGGAGGGCCCAGGAGGGCCTGGAAGCCTGGGCTGAATGAGTACTGTCAGCCGCAGCTGGAGAGAGGCCACGCACAGGCCCATCCACCCCGCGTGACAAGGCAAGGCGTCCCGCCCACCAGGCCATGTGCAGAGGCGACCACCCAGCATCTGCTGATTAAGTCGCTACTGTAGAAGTCCCTGTTTTGGTCTTCCCAAATCAGGACCTAGGAAAAAGACATGAAGAGGTTTCAATCCTCCATTTTTCCCAGAGCAAAAGGCTTTGCCTGTCCACATCATATCACTGGCCCGGAATGCATCCGCTGCAACCTCAGCGCCTTCAGCCCAATGCGGCACTCCCAGCCCGCCCGGCCCGAGGAGCCTTGGCCAGGGTTTACCACCTGCCCCACGCTTTTGAGGATTTCATCACGTGGTCTAATGTGATTGCAATGCAATTCTTGAAAGATATTGTTTTTACTTTAGCTTTTTCTTTTAATGTAACGACTCTACTGAGATTTAATTCACATGCTACAAAGTCTTTTTAAAGTGGTAATTCAATGGTTTTTTTTTTCGTATATTCACAGTTATGTAACCATCCCCACAATCTTTGTTTAGATATTCTTATCACCCCAAAAAGAAGTCCCATAACACTCCCCATCTCCCCTCCTACCAGTCCTCAGCAACCACTAATCTACTTTATGCATCTGATTATTCTTGACACTTTATATAAATGGAATCCTACAGTGTGTCACCTTTTATGTCCAGCTTCTTTCCCTTTGTGTAAGGTTTGCTAAGGTCATCCATATTGTAGCATTTCTTGCAATGACTGAATAATATTCATTTTATGGCTATGCCACATGGTGCTTATTCATTCATTGGTTAATGAACTTTTGTGTTTACACGTTTTTGGCTATGATCGGTAACACTGCTATGAACATTCACGTACGAGTGTTTGTGTGAACATGTTTTCAGTTCTCTCGGGTTTATAACTAAGAATGGAATTGCTAGATCATATGGTAACTGCATTTTTAACCTTTTGATGAACTGCCAAACTGTTTTCCAAAGCAGCTGCCCTGTGTTACATTCCACCAGCCAACGTTTGAGGATTCCCATTTCTCCACATCCTCACACTTCTGTTTCTGTCGGTTTGTTTTCTGTTACTGTTGTTTTAGCCCTTGCAGTAGATGTGAGGTAGCATCTCATTGTGGTTTTGACATTTCCCTGATGGCTAATGATGTTGAGCATCTTTTCATTTGCTTTTTGGCCATTTGTATCTCTTCTTTGGACAAATGTCTGTTCAGATTCTTTGCCCATTTAAAACATTGGGTTATTTGCTTTTCTCTTGTGGAGCATAGGAGTTCTTTATAAATTCTGTATACAAGCGCCTTAGATAAATGATTTGCAAAAATGTTCTCCCATTCCATGGATTGTCTTTTTACTTTCTTCATAGTATCCTTTGAAGCACAAAAGTTTTTAATTTTTATGGAGTTCAGTGTATCTATTTTTTTCTTATGTTGCCTGTGTTTTTGGTGTAATAACTAGGAATCCATTGCCTAATGCAAGATTTATTCCTGTGTTTCTTCTAAGATTTTTACAGCGCTGTTGTGTTAATTAATTTTTGTATCTGGCATGAGGTAGGGGTCCAAAATCATTGTTTTGTATGTGACTATAC